CTGCACACCTCAGGACGACCTCCACAATCTCAGCACCCCAGTTGGGGATGTTCCCCTCGAACCCTTAAGGAAATAGCCTCTATCCCCATCTAGGGGGGGCAGCCTCGCCAGTGGGGGCCAGGCCACGCCCATGGGGATAGGGGTCAGTCAAACGATACTCAGCACCGATAGAGGCTGGCGCTTTTCACAATGTTGCTCTCGCCGCAGCGACGCGCACGTTCGCCATATATCCGTTTGTCGCGGGCACACGAGTGGATGACGGGTGGTTCTCCCAATGTGGTTCTATCTGTGTTTTCGCAGAGTGCGCTGTAAAGTTTCCAACGGGTGCACGGGTGCAGGGTCGTGCTTTGTCTGAGCTGGGGCTCTCGTGTGAGGTGTTTTCAGGCATGTCGGAATTGCAGCCGCTACGCGAATGCAGAGCACTATGGTTCCAACATCGGGGTCTCTCTTGAGACCACTCCCGGGCGCGAGTATCCCAAGTGCAGATCTGCAGGGGTTGAGTGCCTTTCTTGTTCAAACAGCGAGTATCGTTCTTTTTACGTGTGGTCGGTAGCCATCGACTTTGACATGTGCAATAGCTAGGCGGTTCAATAATCGCTTTTTTTTGAAAACAAAAAAACATAACCAGAGTGCGAGGCGCATGTGGGTCCCATCTGTCAAGGTTTGCGCCTCCCGCAGTGGTAAGGAATATGTGGTGGCGTCTGGCACATCCCGCCACCGTGCCCGGTCGTGAACCCCGAGGCCTCTTGCATGCACCCGATGGTTTCTCCGTGCTCGGCGACGGCTGGGGCGGTGCTTGGCGACGGTTGGCTCGTAACCCTTCGTCCTGACAGTTTCCATGTAAGAGCGAATGCCGTCCAACCCTTCTACAAAACGGGGGCCTTACCAAATGGCGTGCCCATGTTGCACCCGTCGTTTAGCAAGTAGACGCTCTCCGGTAAGAACCGTACTAGTTGTAGGGCATTGTCAAGCGAATGTGGACAAGAAATTGTGCTGTAGCACATCTGAAGCATGATACAGCCAGTCTTGTGTAACTTGGGTGGGCGTGCGCAGCCTAGCCCACCGGGTAACGATGGGCTCTCGGATAGCGTTGGCGTTTGGGGGGAACCAACATCTGAAGTATGTTGGATGTACAGTGGAGACCCATGCCAAGAAACGCCCTGCTCGCCTCCAGGGTGCCTTTGGTGTCTTGGGTTTCGATGGTTTGCCATGGGAAGCGCGGCGTTCCCACACCAAGAAACAATGGACGACCCGGGGTCTCAGCGTTTTTTTTTTCTTGTGGAAAGTTTCTTGTGGTCGGGCCCCTGCTGTACTCTGGTCTCTCGTCCTCTTTCTACCTCCCCCACTCACTCCCTCCGCCCAATTTCCTCCTCCGACTCCTGCCCTCCCTCGTTCCCCTCCTCCTTTCCCTCGGCTCCTTGTTCGTCCCGTGGGTCCCCTCCCGTATCTCGTCACCCCATCGCACGTCTCCTGGCTCCTCCCCTTTTTCAGTAAATGTTCCTCTCTTCTTGTTCTCGGTCCACCCCGTTCTCCTCCTCCTCCCCCTCTACATCCATCTGCCTTTTTCAGTTTGCCCGAGAAGGGAGAGAGTGGGGAAGGGCGGAGAGGTACAAACGAGTGATGGACATCGAACTTGTTTTCGTTGCAGTGTACAAAGACGGAGCAACGGCACAGGGAGTCATGAATCGGACGGACAGCGCAGAACTTTAGTGATTAGTCTTCGCCTTGAGGGAGCCGTCCTTCTGCAATGCAGAAGCCAGCAAGTGTCTTTTCTCGTGTCGCCCTTCTTTGCGTGTGGTCGCATTGCCAAGGCTCTGGGTCTCCTTATCTTGAATCAAGACGGGGGCGCGCGCTTGGCAACAATCGCCAGCCATAGATCAATCTAGCGGGGGGGTGCTACGGGGAGGAACCACGGATTTGACAACCGAACAACTTCGACCAGTGTCACTGTAGACCGGCCTCATTACCTATGGCCGATGTGTCGATACCACGGTCCATTGGTTTCAGTATCTATATATATATATATATACGCATAGAGGTTAACCTATCGAGTACACCAGCTGTCGATCGTAGCAGATACGCGTCGATACCACTTCTTATCAGTTGGTACGCTGATCCATTTCGACACATGATCATAATGTATACACATATACGTGCACGTATAGGTACTTCGACCGGTATCAGTATCAGTATATCCACTACGCGATCGATCTCTATGTACATATGTATGCACGCATATATGGATGTATACAAATATACCGGTAGCAGTGCCTATCCATATGGGCAGCCGCCGGACAAACGTCAGGGCATCAATCTGCATCAGTCAACAATTTCGCCAATCTCACAAACCAAAGATGTATGCATGTGTCTATCGCAGCTCGTTTCCACTATCGAGGTACCGTTGTTTACGATCCATAAATATCGCAACACACGCGTACCCATCCAGACGTATAGATGTATGAAAAGGATGACATGCCATGTGTATCCCTCTATGTATCGTTTGGCCTTTATCGATGTGGTTGTACGTCTATCGATCTTAGTATATCTGGACTGACCGGTCTGACATGATGTTCATCGGCGCAATTATTGGAGCAACCATCACGACAACCATCATGACGACAGCCATCATCAGAACAGTCGGCACAACCATCGGTATACATCGGGATCGGCATCGGGCCAACCTTCGGGAACAACAGCGGGACAACCACCCATACACTCATCAACAAAAGCATCGGAACAGCCATCGGGACGACCACTAAGTTGACCATCGGAACAATCATCGGGGCAATCATCGGGACAACCATCGGGACAACCATCGGGACCACCATCAGGACAATCATCAGGACAACCGACGGGACAACCGACGGGACAACCGACGGGACACCTGTGGTGCACGGACCGCTGGAGCAGGTTTCGTTGGCCCGACGTCGTGCTTGGAGTGGCTGGGTCACGCCTCCTGCCCGCGCACGCAGCTCCGCTTCGCCTGCACGAGCGGCGCGAACACGAAGCCGACACCGTGTCGATTCGATCTCTCGCCCAGCCTCCGGCAGCCTTACACCCGTAGGCGTGTGCAGCAGCGCCGACGGGCGTACGACGCGGCGCCGACGGACGCACGTCGGGGCCGCCGACTCCCGCGCGGCGCAGCGTCGACGGACGTCCTGCGCAGCGTCGACGCAGCGTCGACGCAGCATCGACGTTCAACGCAGCAGGGAGTGTCTGTTGGGAAGGTCCGCAGAGCGAGCATGTAAATCAGCTCTCCGATGCAGAATGACATCTGTGCTACAACGAGGGTCGCGACCAGCCTGGCTCTATTCTGCTCTCGCCCTCCTCCTCACCCTGTGCAGCGCACGGGGAACTCTCGGAGCGACCTGGGTGCCTCTTGAGGGCTTCGTGGGGGCCTCGTGGGAGCGTCCTTGGGGCGTCCTAGGGGCATATCTAGGCCCTTTGAGGGCTTCTGTAGCCCTCGAGGGGCGCTCTTTGGCGGTCTGGGATTCACCGGAGTTTGGTTTGGAGGGTTCTCCAAGTTGTTTTGGGGCCCTCGCGGGATGATTCGGGGTCGTCTTGGGAGTCTATTGGACGGTTTTGGGGCCTCCTTGAGCCGTCCTGGAGACCTCTCGGGCCACCTTAGGGCGTCTTGGTGGCCTCTTGGGCCAATCTGGGACCATCTTGGAGGACTCTTGGGCCGTTTCGAGCTGATGGAAGTCCGAAAATAAGACTACTCGAGAATCATTCCAAGACGCGTGGAAATTCTATGCTTTTGACTTTTCGGGTCCTGCTTTGGTCCTGTTGGAACCCTCTTGGGCCGCCTTGGGGGCCTCTCGGGCCGGCTTGAGGCCATCTTGGACAGTCCTGGCGCCACCATAGGCCGCCATGGAGGATCTTGGCGGCCCTCGTGTTGAAGTCGGGCACGTCCCTCTACGGGGGGAATCATGTTTCGACTATGTTTTGCTATCTCGAAGTGTTCTTTGATCACTTCTTATTTAATCGCTTCGCTCATTCCGCCGGCCCTGGAGCGCTATTTGGGGCCTCTTGGGGCCGTCTTGGGGCCTCTTGGGGGCTTCTTGGGAGCGTCTTGGGGCTCCTTGGCGGCGTCTTGGGCTCCCCTGGGGCCTCTTAGGGGGCTCTTGGGGGTCCCTTGGGGCGGGAGGGAGGGTAGTCGATTGCAGCCGCCCCCTCGGAGGCCACGATCCTCGTGAGGGGTGGCGAAAAATAGCCTCCCCCCTGGGGATCGCCCAGGACCCGGCCGGGGATCGGCGGGGGTACTTTTCGTCCAGGGGTCCCCAGGGGGCTCCCCCGCGCGCGAACTAGAAATATTGTTGAGTAGTTACTGGAGATCTTAGCACGCCTCTGGCCCGTTGGGCCGGCGAATTTAGGAGGACATGCCCGACCTAACCTTGCTGGCCTGCCTGGGCCCCTCTTGGAAGGCGTCTCTGGGGCCTCCTCCTGCTCCTCCTCCTCCTGCTCCTCCTCCTCCTGCTCCTCCTCCTCCTGCTCCTCCTCCTCCTCCTCCTCCTCCTCCTCCTCCTCCTCCTCTTCCCTGGGCGCCCTGCAGAGCGCCAGGGAAGGCGTGTCGGGGTTCCCAGGGGGACCCTCCAGGAAGGGAGGGGCGGTGAACGCCCCGCGGCGCTGGGAGAGGAGGGGGACAAGCAGGAGGAGGAGGAGGAGGAGGAGGAGGAAGAGGAGGAGGAGGAGGAGGAGGACGAGGACAAGGAGGCGAGGAGGAGGAGGAGGAGGAGGAGGCGGAGGAGGGGGAGGAGGAGGAGGAGGAGGAGGAGGGGGAGGAGGAGGATTGGGAGGAGGAGGGAGAACTGAGGGGAGGAGGAGGGGTAGGAGGGAGGAGGGAGGACTGACGGGATGAGGAGGAGGAGGAGGAGGAGGAGGAGGACAAGGAGGACGAGAAGAGGAGGGAGGAGGAGGAGGAGGAGGCGGAGGAGGGAGGAGGAGGAGGAGGAGGAGGCCTGACAGGCACCCTACCGGATCACTACCACTACCACGCCTCCATGTCCCAGGGGGCCCTGGTTGGCGGATGTAGCGGAGCAAATCAAGCACGAATTTCGGTTCGAGCCATCCAGCCCTCAGGCGCGAGCAGCCTCCGGACTCCAGGAGCCCGTTGCTTCACTGTCCGATCACCAGCCTTCGCAGCGGCCATGGAATTGTACGACATGGAGCCCGGCCTGAAGGCGATCGCCTCGGTCGGAAGCGTGTTGAATTGCCAGGAGCTGACAGGTGTGCAGGCCCAACCTCCTCTTTGGCATCCTCCCCCTTCTCCGTCCTGCTTCTCCTCCTCATTTCCCGTCTGCCCTCTTATTGTTCCATTACATTCCCTTATGGATCAGTCCTCCTTGTCACACCCCCAAGCTGGTCGAAAGAGCGGGCCGTGCGTTTTGCTTGAGTCTTCCTCACCAACTTTGGCCTTGATGATTAAACTTCTACAAGAGTCACACGGATTGAGGGCGGGTGGATTTCAAAATGTGGTTCTCGCTCTAGCGCCGCGTACATGCGCTTGAACAGATCTCAAGAGTTTCGCGGATCGAGTCCGGGTCGTTTTACAAATGGGGTTTGCGTTCTAGCGCCGCGCACATTCGTTTTGAATAGTAGTTCACGGCGTGAGGACGGGTCGTTTTCAAAATATGGTTGTCGCATTTGCGCCGCGCACATGCGTTGTTTAAGTTGTGCATGATATTCACGATGAGGGCAGGTGCTTTTCAACATGTGGTTTTCGTTTGTCGCGCACATCCGTTCCAACATTTACACGGATCCGATTGAGGGCGGTTCGTTTTCAAAATGTGGTTCTTGCCGTAGCGCCGCGCACATTCGTTTGTCAAAATCGCAGGAGCTTCGCGGATTGAGGGCGGGTCGTTTTCAAATTGCGGTTCTCGTTTGGGCGCCGCGCACATTCGTCTTGCAACATGGCAAGCGTTTCGCGGATTGCGGGCGGTTCCTTGTCGTTTTGTGGTTCGCGTCGTAACGTTGCGCGCATTCGTTTTGAACATGTGCGTGGGGTTCCATTGATCCTTATCAGGATTGTCATGGCGCAACATGTACGTTGTTTCGCGGTGTTGGAGTCCGCAGTATGGTGTTCTGGCGCGATTCAGGATCGCCAATCCGTAACTGTCAGGTTAATGTGTGGCGTTGACGTGTTGAGAAGTGTGTTTTGGCACGCTTTAAGTTGTTCGCGCGGTTGGCGACCAACGGCGCAATTCCCTCTGTGGAAACGACCACTTGTAGGGGCTTATGAAGAGGGGTCTTCGAGGGAGCGTGTATTTCAACATCGTTGATGAGTCTTAGGTTTGCACTGGTCCTCCTCCTCCTCTGCCGCATCCTCCTCCTCCTCCTCCTCCTCCTCCTCCTCCTCATTACCCTTCCCATCTTCCCCTGCATCCCCTTCCACCACCATCCACCTTTCTCCTTCGTCCACAGTGCCCAATCAGTCTCCGCACCTCTGTTTTACGATCCCGTGGCTGTCTCAGCAGTCCGCTGGGCACCAGCCAGGCACACATGAAAGCGGATCTCGGCTGGACCGCTAGATCCCGACTGTGATGTCTGCGCTTTGCCACGGTCCAGCGGGTCGCTTTTGGGACGGGAGCAGCGCGGGCGGGCGCAGGCGGGCATGAATTTGCTGAAGAGCAAGGAGAAGTACCCCGAGATCTACTTCTGGGGCAAGATACTCGGCCTCAGCGGCGACTATTACATCGCGTACGGCCTGGGCAGCTCGGAGTTCGAGTTTCCGAGCAAGGCTTTCTTCTTCGCTGGAGGGGATTTTGATTTCCAGCCGCTCAAGGCGCTCACCAAAGACGTTGCCGCCAAGGTCGGGCGGCCTCTTTTGTGTGTCCGAACCGCTGTCTCGGTCTGAACTCAGCAGACGCACTTGCACTCCAAGAGGGGGGGGGGGCATAGAGGTCGGGAGGGAGCAGGGCGAAGGCAAGACGGAGGGCGCAGACAGGGTGTGTTTTGTTCCTGCCTCTTCTCGTCGTCTATCACGCCGTCCCTGGCATGAAGCACCGGGCAGCACGAGGTTACCATTCATCCCACCGCTCGCCTCAGTCGCCCTCAGCAGCGCGGCGCTGGGCACCCACCCAGTGCGGCGCCTCGACGGTCTCCCTCGCTGGCTTGGAGCGAGGCTGCAGCGGGCCGCGGGTGACGTCCGCGTCGCGCCAAGCTGCTCCGCAATGGCGGCGGCGATCGTCCCGCGCGTTTTTGCTGGACACCCTTTGGCGAGAGCAATGGCGTCTTCGTGACGGTTTCGTCGTCTCTGCGCCATTCCAGGGGGGCATGGTGCTCTCGGCCAGTGCGGGCACACCAGCGTCGGACGGGCGGCGGAGTCCTCTGTTCGAGGTCCTCGGTCTTGACCAGCATCCGCCGCGAAGGCCTGCCAGGGGTGATCCGGACCACTTGAGGGTTCCGGAGGGGGCTCTGACTTCGGGCCGCTCCTTGGGGCCGAGAGGATGAGGAGGAGGAGGCCGAGGAGGAGGAGGAGGAGGAGGAGGAGGAAGAGGACGGCGATTGGAGAAAGGCGGGAGGAGGGGGTGGAGGGGAAGGAGGAGGAGGAGGCGGAGGCGGAGGAGGGGATCCGGGTCGGGGGGCCGTGTCTTGGCCGAGGCCCGCCGCGGCCGGACCAGCAAGCGCACCCTTCGCTCCTCGACGGCCGTGCGGGCCTGCCGTGGCCGCTGCGCTGTCGGCCGGCCGGCCTGCTGCTGGTCGCACGGAGACCAAGCAGTGGCGAAGCGCCCTGGCTCGCCTATAGGTCTACCAAGCAATGTTCTAAGTTCTAAGAACCTTGTGTCGGGGGTGGACAGACCTCCTCCCCTGACACGTCGATCAGTGAATTGTCCGTTTTCGGTTCTCGAGAGGGCGCCGCGGCCGTCATTTTCTAGGCTTGCGCCCGCCAGGTTTGGGCCGAGGTCGCTTTCACTAAACCACGTTTTGCTAAAGGGAGGTCTGTCCCTCCCCGATTGTGTGGTTGGCACGAAATGTTCTCAGAACATTCCTGGTTGGGGCTGTCTTGTTTTGACACATCGGGTTTTTGTTCTAAGAACACTGTTCGTGTTCTTCGAACATGTCTGGGTTCTAAGAACATGTCGTAGTAGGCCTATAGGAATGCCGGGGCGGTCGGACCCTGCTCAAGATGACCTACCGGCCCGTGCCGGGGCCGGTCCTGAGCCGAGTGTGCGGAGCCGAAAGGTTCTCGCCTCCCAGACCCCTTCGCGCTGTGACAAGACGTCACGACGGGGAGTCTTGCTCCATTGTCGGCTTCCGGGGCGCCCCTCCTGATCCTGCGGACATTCAGCAAAGCGGCGCGGGATGACAAGTCAGTCCCGGGGAAGGGGTCGAGACCCCAAGGAGCCGACCTTGCGAAAACACAAGACACGACGTCGGGGGTCTGGCCTCTGGTGGGCGCCCCCAAGTCTCCAGCCTCTGGAGCCGAAGGCGGCTTGGATGTCTGCACCGTGAGCTGACCTCTCGGGTGAGGGCCCGTCGGACATCGCCATCGCCTCCTCTGGGCCGCCCGCCGAGGAGGCGCAGAGTCACACTGGCCAGATTGGGATCGGTTCGTAGTTCGGCCTCGTCTGTACACACCTCGTCCTCACTGCGTGCGACCCGGATCTCTGGAGGGAGTTCTCGTGCCACCTCCTGCCAGCTTGTTCAGTCGATTCAGCTCGCGAAATTCGCTGAGCTCGTCTTCGGTGAGCAATTCCTGCCGCGGTTGCCGCTGTCTCGTCGAATCATTTGTATGGCCTCCTGGGGTGTTCGGGGATCGTCCCCATCCCTTGGCACTACAGCTTCTCCTTGCCTTGAGCGTGCATCCGGTATTCCTTAGCCCGCTTCTGGTGCCCTATTCATCATCACGGTGTGGAGATCTCCGTAAACGGTTTGGCCGCGCGCGTAGGACACAAAGTGTGTGGTGTTCGGGTCGGTATTTGTTACGTGCTAGGCATGCTTCTGGCACAGACATGTCCGCGTGTGCTAAACGAGCGTACGCCTGAGACTGTCCTGTAATTGCTCGCGACTCCGAGTTGTACCAGATCGTCAGGCTTAGATCGCATCGACTTGTTATGTGAGGTTGCTCCGTGTACCTGCGGTGTGGCTGACCCCCACGCTGTTGCTGATCGTTGGGTTTTCAGCGCCATCCCAGCGCCTGCCCAGGCGCATCGAGCTAGGTGGACTCAATTTTGTTCCGCTTCTCACCGTTGAGGTCATCCGAGGGGCTCGATATACACATCACGTCCTTCGGTCGCCCAAGGAGCCAAGGAGTTATCCGAAGGAATTCGGTGTATGATGATCCCAGGCTCCAGGCCCACGCCCCCCCCCTCCCAGGGATGGGATGTTCCCCAAGGTCCCGCGGGCCCCCCTCCACCCCACTCATGGGATGGGGGGGACGACGACGACGACGACGAAGAAGACGACGACGACGACCACGACCACGATGACGACGACGACGGCGACGGCGACGACGGCGACGGCGACGCCGACGGCGACGGCGACGGCGGCGGCGGCGGCCGCGAAGCCGACCCTGCCCAGGGGCCCGCCTCCGCAGATCATCCTCTGTGGCGCCGCCCGCGGGCGACGCAACTGAGGAAGACCTGCGGAGGAAGGGTGGATGAAGAGGAGGCAGGAGATTCGAGGACGCCGAAGTCTGGACGAGGAGGTGGGGACGGAGGACGGTGGCACGGCGAGTTCGCGTGCTCGGATCTGCTCCGAGGGTGGAGGGAGGGAGGGAGGGGGACGGAGAAGGGGGGAGGGAGGCGCAGGGACGGAGGGAGGACGGGGGGAGGAGGGAGGAGGGAGGGAAGGAGGGAGGAGGGAGGGAGGGAGGGAGGGCCTTGGAGGAGGAGGCTGGAGGGAGGAGCCGGCCGGAGGAGGAGGCCCGCCGGCCGGAGGGCGCAGGAGGAGCAGCCAGCGCGGGGGGCGCCCCCGCCGGCCGCCGCCCGCGGCGGCGTCGGGCGGCGTGGGCTCTCTCGCCGCCGGGAGGTCGCCGGGCTCGCGGCGGAGGGGCCGTTCACGGGCGTGCCCACGGCCGTGCTGCCCGGCCAGGCCCGCGGCACGGGGGGCGCAGCCTCATCCCTCAGGCAGTGCCAAGGGGGGTCACCACCGGGGGGGTCGCCAGCTTCTCCTGGAAATCGAGGTTCCAGGATGGAGGGTCGAGGAGTCGAGGATGTTCTTGGACGTTTCTTTGCGTTTTCGGGGCTCGGGGGGGCCCAGTTCCTCGAGGAAGTCTCGAGGAAGTGGCGTTTCCTCGAGGAAGTGGCGACCCCCCCAGTGGTGACCCCCCTTTGCACTGCCCCAATCCCTCTGGACGCCCGAAATGGGTACGGAAAGAATGGGTGCAGTGCCCAACAGCAGTTCTTGTTCGTGTTGAACAGGATTCGCCGTCCACGCCGCCGCGGCCTGTGTCCATTCGAGGCAGAAGGCCGCCTGCCCAACAGCGGCCGCTGCTGGTTCTGGGAGCACATTTGTTGCTGGGCATTGTACCCATTTTTCCGTACCCATTTCGGGCGTCTCAAATCCCTTTCGAGACCCCCACCAAATGACCACCACGGTTGGGGATTCACCCCTAGAAACCCGAAGGGAACGACCTATATGCGCGGGGGTCAATCGGCCAGTGGGGCCCAGGCTACGCCGCTGGGGATGGGTATTGGTCAAACGATACTTAGGCGCCACGTGAGCCTCAGAGGAGGAGGAGGATGGGGGGCGGCAAAGAGGGGGGTGACGACAAGGGGGGGATATCATGGCGTGGGCCATGATATCTCCTCTGATTTCATGGCGCCTCGTCTTATTTCATCTGGGCCGCTCACATGCCGCTGGCCATGATTTGCGCCCCCACCCTTCTTGGACGCCCCCATCTTGGCCGCCCCCGAAAGTCTTAGAGGAGGAGGAGGAGGAGGAGGAGGAGGAGGAGGAGGAGGAGGAGGATCACCGAGCAGGTTCCCCTACTCGCAAGGTGCCTACTCGCAAGCGTCCGAGGTTAAAAAGCCGGTCTTCCTCTTATGGATGTAGCGTGAAGTCCCCGCGGCGGATCCAGGCCATTTGAGAGTAGCGGTGTTGCATGTTCAGAGGAGGAGCAGGCAGTGGTGCTCGCGAGTTGATGTGCCCCCCGCCCCCATCGCGCGATGAACGCAAGTTTTGCTCCAGGAGAGCCTCGGCCAGCCCCTTCCGAGAGTGACACGTAAGAGTAAGTAACCCTTTGCCAGGGTGGCTTTCGGTGCGGGCCCATTGGGGCCCCCCGATCGCCAAGCGCAATGCGGTAGTATCGTCTCCTGCGCCTGCGTCTGGTCCTCCCCGCGGCCCACAAAAAGCTGCGCACCAACGGTCACTCTTGCCCAGGGCCACTCTTGCGCGTAGACGAAGGAGGCAAAGGCACCGATACCGCGGCCCTTTTCTCGTTCTGCGCCTTGGCCCTCGTCGCCACCGCCGGATTCTCCGCGAAGTTCTGGCCACCACGCGCCTATGGGAGAGGTCCAGGGAGTGGGGGTATCAGTACCTTTGTATTCCCCAAAGTCGAGCGTTACGCAATGGGGAAGGATGATGAATGCGGGCGCGAAGAAAGGTGCACCTTTTTATACCCTCAAGGGGCCCTGGAGGGGGAAGAGGTTACGCTGCACTAAATGTCGTTAGCAACGCTTGTTTGCAACTGGCTGTGAGACGCGTAAGGTGAATCAATCGCGACGGCGGCAAGAAACTATCAACGCACATTCAAATGACGGTGCAGCGGCTTGCGTTTGCACGGGAAGCAGGGTAGTGCACATAACATAATGAGCTTCAGTTCAAGCAGCTGCAGCAGCGGCGGGGCGCTTGCGCAGGGGGCGCTGCGCCGCAGCCGCCGCTGGCCGCCTGCGTACGAGTTTGGCGCTGCCATGCAAACGGCCGACGCTCACGCTTGGATATCACGCATCGTCAGGTGCAGCTTCGCATGACCGTGGGTGGGCGCTCAGACAAAGCGCAGAGCGCAGCCTGGAGCAGCTCACGCTTCTCGTTGTGCTACTGCATGTACCTGACTCGGCGCATGATCTAATGCACATCCGTGCGTCCGTAGAAGTTGAATTGACACGTTCCCCGTCAAGCCAAACTTTGGCACCTACCCGGTGAGTTAGGCAAACTTGTGTGAGCAGCGCTCCTTGATGAACTGGTCGCGGTCGGGGAAACGTCACGCATCTGGTAGGATCTGATCTGGCATTAGGTAAACGAAGAAGCGCACCAAACGCACATGTTACCTCACTAGCGCGCAGGAGCCAACACGATCAGCGGAGGCGATGGGGGCATCCCAAACTGGATGCTCCTGTGGCTGCCGTGTTTCGTGCAATGTATCATTGGTTCTGTGGTCGTGATCCTCACATTGAGTTTGTCCTTCTGATTTTTCTGATAGACGGAGTTGAGTTTGATGAATGCCGCTCATCAAGACAACTCTCTTGGGTATCGTTCCTGGACGGACGGATGGCATGCGCAGGCGGACCTATCTAAGAAACCGGACACATATCATGTGGATGTAGATGGAAAGCGCTACATGCATTTGTTGCTGCAATGTGCACAGGAATCAAAGAATTCAACAGAGGGGGAGCGAGCATCCAAAAGTGGATGTCCTCGTTGTTTTAGTTGATGAGTCGCATGTGTTGTCACCTCGTTTTCGTTGTTCCATGGTTTGTATCGAAGTCTGATAATGGACACAAAGAAACATTCCAACTTGACACTAAGGCGTCAATACACCTAGTTAGAGTACACTGAGAAAACGGAGATGATGTACAACGCGCCGAAGCCGAGACGTTCGTTTGAAAAAGAGTGCTCGAAACAAACGTTGGTCATGATACTCCTGCATAAGCTGACCAGAAGCCCCAAAGGACATCTACACCGTGGCGTTGTGTCTGAGCGTTGTGTTCCGTAGCCTGAAACACATGCAACCAGCACAGACTTGCCCTGTTCTTATGAAGTTCGCTAGGAAGCCCGAGGAGGCGTCTGCACCACGATGTGTTTTCTGCATGCTGTTCCCGCGTTCTGACGCTTAATGCAACAAACGTGCAAATCGTGTTCCTCCTTCTAATCGGGAAAGGTCCTAACGGGCATCTTCACCGCTGTGGTTTCTGGACGCTGTGCCCCGCATCCGGGGACAAACCCCACAACCATTGCACATAGTTTCTTGTACTTCTGAGGCCTACTGGGAAGCACCAGGGAGCGTCTGTACCGCGGTGTGCGTGCGCTTGTGCTTATGAACGGTTTTGTGTGCACATTCCTAGATCAACAACGCGTTCACGTAGTTTCCCCTTCTTACCGCATTCATGGGAAAGCCCCAGAGGGCGTTTGAACTGCGGCGTTATTTTTGAACGTTCGTTTCCGCATCTTGAAACAAGCAAAGCAAATTAACATCAACAACAACCATGCCCCCCCAAGGTTCACCCGAACGCCTCAGCGGGCGTATGTACCGTGGTGTGCTGTCCCAGGGATTCTCTGATGGAAGTCGATTGTTGGTCAGTCACGATGGCACCACTTGGAAATATGGCGGCTGTAAGACAGTGTTTTGTTGCGGCGGCCTGAAAACATTATTTCCATGTGCGACCGCTGTTCAGACAGTATATCTTCTGTGGCTGCCTGACACAAGGATTTCCTTCCGTGGGTGGCCCAAAGGAAACCAGGAACGAAATAAACGAGACAGAACCAACCCAATGGAAGTATGAAGATTGTTGTGTTGTGAGGGAGCTCGTGTACCAGACGCTGGAGAACGTACGCGAACAAATCACAAACAACGTTTGCAGCCACCGCAGCCCCCAAACGTTGTAAAACACAACAGCTTCAGCAATCAGACTTCCCAAGTGCTGCGAAACACACAGTTTTCACCCCATCAGATTTCCAAAGCGCTGTAGAACAACATGTTTTAGCGAGTTCCTGTAGCAGCGTCTTTACACAAGGATTTTCTTGTGTGGCAACCTTACAAAGTAGTCTTGTTGCTGCGGCCTCACGAAAGGAATTCGTGACGTGTGTGATACAGGAGCCGGCGACGAGCGAGGGGAGGAATTGAAAAGGAAAAGGTTTTCTCAGAAGCCGTCGGGACTTTTCAGAAGCCCTCGCGCCTTCTGAGAAGTTTTTGTCTGTCTTCAGGGAAGACGCAGAAAATTGTTCAGAAGTCCGGGGGACTTCCGAGACTTCTGAGAAGGCACGCCCCTTCTCATGCCCCCCCTGGCTTGCCGCCTATTGAGGAAACCAAGGAACGGAATAACAAAAAAAACAACAGTGCAGCATCCAACGACAGGTTGAACATGTAGGTGTGTTCATTCGTGTTTGGTGCCCGAGGCTGAGCACACAATGTGAGAACACATGTTTCTCATCCATCGGGGATCCCGAACGGCAAAGCACACCGTTTTCAGCAATCGAAGCTCCCGAACGCTGTAACACAAAGCGTTGTCAGACATCGTGGCTCCGAGGCACTGTGTTTGATATCGCTTCGGAGTTCCGATTGCTGAAAACGATGTGTATTACAGCTTTTGGGAGTTCCTATGGCAGGACACGACATGGCTTCATTTTGTTTCAGCCTCTGGTACTAAATATTCATTCAACAACTACACCGTTTCATACTTGCATTTGGTTGTTGTGTTTGCCTGTAGTTTCTTGGTTCCTCTTGTATCACCCACTGAAGGAAATCCTTTCGTAAGGCCGCCGCAAAAGGATTCCTTTTTGCAAGTGCAAGGCCGCCGCAACAAAAAATATTGTGTATGGCCGCCGCAGAAAGAAATCGTTGAAGCGCTGTGTTCTCCAGCGTTCGGGAGCCCCGATGGCTGAAGACGGTGTGCTTCACAAAGCTTGGGAGTTCCGATTGTTGTAATCGTTGTTTGTTAAGGCGTGTGGGAGCTATTTCTGCTTCCGATGCGAGACCACAGGAACCTTATTATTTCCCAACAGAATCATTTGAGGTCATTATTGTTGGTATGTCTTGGGTTTCTTGTTATGCCACTCACAGAAAGACATCCTGTCGTAAGACCGCCGCAAAGGAACACCCTCTTGTAAGGCAGATTCGATTTCTGTAGCGTTGCCACAATAAATCTGGTTCGTACGGCTGCCACCAAGAAGTAGGTTTTGTCGAAGATCTTGGCCCATTGAATGTTTTGGGAAACTTGCATGTTTATTCGCAAGTTGGTTTGGCAAGTGCATGTTCTAGGGCATGTGTTACACACCTTTTACCTCAACAAGGGGCCCCCCTGGGGCGCAGCAGAGGCACGAAAGGTGCACGATTCTCTCACCCCTCATGTATCGCCCCACTACGCAACGCCCGAGGGATGACGTGAGTCAGGCAGTGCCCATTGTGTTTCTCTAGGCCTCTCTGATGGGGTCAGAGGAGATGAGGTCGACGATCGGAGTTTGGCGCCACATCGCCGATTCGTCGGCGATGTGGCTCGATGTGGAGCCCCATTTTCTCCACGCCGACGTCGCCGAGGCATCGCCGACGTCGCTGGAGCATTGCCGATGAATTGGCCCGGCGATGCGTCGCGATACGCCGATCCCATCTGTTCCGAGCCCATCTTTTCCGACCCCATGTATTCCGACCCCCGTCCGACTCCCCCAGGGTGGATGGATGGTCGAACAGATTTGGGACGTTTCTGGGCATCCTTGGGTGTCTTGGAGGAGATGGCGACCCAGGAAGCGACGACCGACCTTGACATTTTTGTTTGAGCAGATTTGTTTGGAATTGTAGATTCCAATCTAGTCTTAGCGCCTTCCTGTTTCAATATTCGAACGGTTTCCCACGTTTCTCCGTGTTCAGGGAGCGGACGGGAACCAAATCTATTGCCAGCGCCTTCCCATTCCAATTTTGTACCATTTCGCTCGAACAAATCGTAAACTCCTTTTTGAAATCGAGGAGTCATGAGGATCGAGGATCGGGAAGGTCTTTAGAGCGTCGTTGGGAGTCACGGGGGATCCTGGGCTGCACGTTTCCTAGACGAGGTTGCGATTTCTTTAGTTGTGAATTGATTTGGCATTGCCTGGTTGAGGAGCACCCCGCCTAGGGTCCAGGCTTTTTCGCGCTTCGCAGTGTGACACAAGACACGGCGGAGGCTTGGTGGTTCTTCGGTTTGGGGATTCGAAATTCAAAATGGAGGGCTTATCCCGGTCGCGATGTTTTTCAACAGTTGCGCGTCGTAGGGAGTGTTCTTGGGGTGTCCGAGTCGTCCCGGACGGCCGCCTGAGGCTTGAGATATGACCCCCGAACGCGAATTTTCCTCGTCCTCTTCCTCCTCCTCCTCCTCCTCCTCCTCCTGCTCCTCTTGCGAAGGGATCGTAAGAACAGACAAACTCTGCCCTTTGGGGGGCCGGGCCCGAAGCTCGTCAAGAGAGTTTGCGCCGAGCGACTAGCGGGCCCTACTTACCCCTGGTGGTGGTCGAGGCCGGGGCCTTCGAGGGTCCACGCTGTGAGAAGTCGCAGCTGTGCCTTTTGGTCTCCACAGCGAGGAGGCCCAGGAGGAGGAGGAGGAGGAGGAGGAGGAGGAGGAGGAGGAGGAGGAGGAGGAGGAGGAGGAGGGGGGCGACAACGACGACGGGGTGGAGGGGCGACGACGACGCGGGGGGAGGGAGGGAGGTGGAAGAGGATGAGGATGATAAGAGGATGAGGATGATGAAGGGGGGCAAGGTGGAAGAGGGAGAGGGGATATACAAGGAGGATGAGGAGGGGGATCAGCAGGACAAGGGGGAGGAGGAGGAGGAGGAGGAGGAGGAGGAGGAGGAGGAGGAGGAGGAGGAGGAGAGAAAGGCAGATGGGAGAAGCAGAAAAACACGAAAGAGACATGATGAGGCAGCGGACCAGGCAGGAGCGCATGGCGGCGAAGCCAGAAGGGGAGGACGGAGGAGTCGGGAGGAACAAAACGCATCGGCTGCGGCGTCGACGATGGCGGCGATAACGGCGGCTGCGACGGCGACGGCGGCGACGGCGGCGGCGCCAGCGACGGCGGCGACGGCGGCGGCGACGACGACGAAGACGACGCCGACGACGACGGCGGCGGCGGTGGCGGCAGCGGCGGCGGCGGCGGCGAAGCCGGCCCTGCCCAGGGGCCCGTCGGCGAGGAAGAGCAGGGCGAGGCGGAGGAGGGCGAGGAGCCCGCCGCCGCGGGGCCGCCGAAGCTAACGGAGGCCGACCGGCTCGCACAGGCGAGCGGGGGGGGGAGGCTGGGGCCGGGTCTTCCTGCAGAGTCCAGGCCCCTCCTCCAGCCTGCTCCTCAAGCCTGCCCGCCCCCTCCCCTGCGCCTCCAGCCTGCTCTTCCAGCCTCGGGCTCCAGCCGCGCCCCGCAGCCTAGGCCCTCCTCCGCCCGCCCCCCATCCTCCAGCCTCCAGCCTGCTCGAGCCTCCAGCCTCCTCCGCCTCCAGCCTCCTCGTCAGTCCTCCTCATCTGTCCTCCTTGTCCGTTCTCCTCCCTCCTCCGCTTCCATCCTGCCTCTGCGCGCTGCGCGCCGTCGTCGTCTGCGACGGCGTTGGCGTTGGCAGCGTCGTCGACGACGGGTTCGACGTCGTCGTCCCGGCGGGCTGGCCTGAGGGCGCGAAGGCTTCTTGCGCCAGGTCGAGGGGCTCCCGCGGGGGCCTGCGTGAAGGAGCCCGCGCCTTCGCTGCCCAGGCCGTACCGTCCAGACTGGTAGTAAGGACGATCGACTTCCCAAGGGTACACCCTCCTCCTCCTCTTTCTCCTCCTACTCCTACTCCTCCTCCTCCTCCTCCTCCTCATCATCATCATCATCATCATCGTCATCATCGTCATCATCATCATCATCATCATCATCATCATCATCACCATCATCATCATCATCATCATCATCATCATCATCATCATCATCATCATCATCATCATCATCATCATCATATCATCAACAACATCATCATCAGCAGCATCACCATGCTTATCTTTCTCCTCCTCCTCCTCCTCCGCCTCATCCTTCCCTGTATTGACGCAGACATGGATCAGAGAGCCTCCTCCGCCTCCCCCTCTTCCTTCTTCTCCCCCTCCTCATCTTCCGCTTCCTCCTCCTCCTCCTTGCATCCTCCCTATTCGGCCAGCTTCGGTGCATCCTTAACCACTTTCGGTGGCCAGCCCTTCTCAAAAAGCTACGACATGGGTGCCCAAGGGGCTTCGCGCCGGATCGCGAACCCTCACATGCAGTCAGGGCGCTGCAAGAAGGACCGCGTTGGGCTCCGGAGGGGCTCGGACTGCGTCGTGGAACTCGTCTGTGGCCTAGACCCGCCGTGGGCGGGACGGCCCCCTTCGATCCTTATGGCAGCACGACGGCTGCATCAGTTCTGGTTGCACTCTCTGGCGCGCCGCCAGTGGACTGGCACGTAAATTTCACGCCAGTCACTGGAAGCAGGTATTTTCGGACCACCGCATCTACCTCAAGCGCCTTCCTGCTTCAAGAACCGGTGGGTGTTTTGTTCAGCGTGTGTTGTTGTTCCCTGGGCGGGCCCGGACCCAATCTATTGCATCCGCCCTCCTACTTCATGTTTCCACGTATGTTTTCCAACTGGCGGGTATCGGGTTGGGAGGATGGTGTTGGGAGAACTGATCAGATCATCCGTGTTATCGCGTATGTTGGATGGGTTTGGTTCGCAGTCATTCCCCGTATCTTCTCAGCCCCTTCCCCCAATCACGATAAGAGTGTTTCTCAATGGAAGTCTGTGGGCTCTCGTCCCACATATTGGGGAATCCAAAGGTACCCAGACCGCTACTCCCAGGACCACTCCCGGGGCGCGCTCGGACCAGAATTCCGAGGCGAATCCAGCGGTGGCGACGAGGGCCACCCAGGAGGCCCAAAGAGGTGGACAACAGAGGGCCTCGCTTCAAAGAGGCCCAAAAGGATGGAAAAGAGGGAAGGGTAGCAGTATGGGTACCCTTTCCTCCTCGGACGTGGCGCGCTCCAGAGGGGCCTCGCCTCCAAGAGCGTAGGGAGGTTGGTACCTCTGCCTGGGCGGAAGGCCAGCAGTCGGGCGGAGGGCGCCAGAAGCGAGACCGAGACGGCGCCACCAGCGGAAGCAGGAAATGCGCCCCCAAGAGATTTTGGGCCTGCTAGATGCGGTCGGAGTAGATGGGGTCGGAGGATCGCGCCGCATCGCTGATCCTTCGGCGATGCGGCTCGATGCGGAGCCCAATTTTCTCCACGCCGAGGTCGCCGATGCGTCGCCGACGTCGGCGGTGCATGGCCGGTGCATCGCCGAGGCATTGGCGATGCGTCGCGATCCTCCTACCCCATCTACTCGAACCCCATCTAGGAGGCCTCTAGAGATGGCATTATTCGTTGGATTCGGTCCAGTCACGCCCTCGCGTTGTGCAACAAATCCCGACGGGAGTGTCTCGCTATCTTCGGCTTGGGGGGGGCCTTTGCCAGGCCTCGGGGCCGTCAGAAAACGACTCAGGATGAACAGCCGGTCCAGGAGAGGGGTCGAGATCTATTGGGGGCGAATTGTGAAAAAAACATCATATTGTCAGAGGTTTGGGGACGGGGGAAGGGGGAGGGGGGGAGGCTTCTCAGAAACACCCCTGCTTCTTAGAAGGCGCAGGCCTCATAGATGTAGGGCCGGTGCCTTCTGAGAGATGCAGCCTCCTTCGGAGAAGCCTTCCCCCTTACCTCCATCCCCTTTTTTGCGCGCCGCCAATTCAGGGTTCCTGGAGCCCGCGACACGTGCCACTGCGACCGTTGACGTGCAAGAGCGAGGGAGCACGAGTAACGAGGAGGACCAGCCGGAGAGTTCGAGCCTCGCGTCGAAGTGCGAGGGGTGGGCTTGATTCCTCGTGAGGGTCATGATGTTCCAACCTACTTTAGCTCTGATCACCAGGAAGAATTTCGAGCACCAGGAAAGTACCGAAACGTGAGGGTGTTCACGTGTCGGGCCCTGCGAGGCGATACTCGTTTGACACTGTTTCGATGCTTCCCTGGACGCTCGAAATTATTTCTGGGGTGTGGTCCTGAAGTACGATAGGGAGCAACATCACGTGAGGGGGTCCGATGTCTCGCCCAGCCCTGCGCAGGTGGTGCCGGAGATCGACCACGACACCGCAGTGGTCCCCCGGGGCGCGCACGCGTTGAACGAGGCCCACGCCGTGGTACCCAGCAGCGACTTCACGGGTCCGTCCAAGCCCTCGCTGAAGCGGCAGCCGCAACGGGGCGGAAAAGCTTCAGTGAGGGCAAAAGGGCCATAGGGGCCAGGGAAATGCGATGATCAAACAAGTACAAGCAGCATCAGCATTGATTGTCGGAGGTCCGTGCGGATTTCTTGGATCGGCGCTGGTCTCCCGCGCGGAGCTGGGCGAGAGACGCGCGACGGGCGGCGCTGGAGGCGTCGCTGGGTCGCTGGGGGGATCCAGCGCCTATCCAAAGATTTCCGCGCGGACCTCCGAAAGTATATGATGTTGTACCTGCGTGACGCTCTCGGAAAGTCTCTCCCCCCCGTGCCCCGAGCCGTCCTCGGCCCTACCCCCCCAACTCAGAGGAGAACCGCGAACCACCGCCACCGAGAACCCAGCGGTGGGTGACCGACCCCAGGGCGGTGGCACGCCGGAGCGCCATCCCGTGTGCGGTGAGGCTCGGGCGCACCCCTCTCGGGGGTCGGCTCTCCCCCCCACCGATAGGCTGTCGGTCGTGGTGGTCCTTGCGCCCCCTCTGGCCACGTCTCGGGCCGGTCCTGTTTTTGCCCAGCCGGCGCAGGTCTCGGCGGCACCGAGGCCACCGCCCTGTCCAAGTACGTGCACTTCCGGCCGCCCGTGAGCGTCGCGTCCCTTCGGGGGGCGAGGGAGGGGGAAGGGTGGGCCCCCAGGGCGGAGGGCCCGGAACTCGGGCGTCATGCGCTGCTTCTTCAGCGTCGACTTTGGGGGGTCGGGATGCTTCCCCTGGGCAGGTGCTCCATCCCAGGTCGTGGCCGCCCGGTGGCCGGTGGCCAGGACTGCGTTGTCCCGGGGCCCGGTGGCCGGCCCCGGGGAGGCCCCCTGACCTGGGAATTTCTGTCGTGCTTGCCGTATGCTCAAGTCAGGCGTGTCCCTCTACAGGAGGAATATGCGAAAATAAAAAAAAGTCTGCGGACGATGTGCTGATTATGTTTGACTATTCTTGTCTATATTGATTGGTGCATGTTCAATTGTTTTGCCCGAGATCCGCCTGTGGGAGGACATGCACGACCTAACTGTATGCAGCGCGAAGAGGGCAGCGTGGGCAGGCGGGCCAGGTCCTCGTTCACATAGCCCCCGCGCGCTCCAAGCAGGATCGTGGTTTTGGGGAGAGTGCCCCAGCAGGGCTCGTTTCCATTCCTCCGATTCGATTCGGATCGATTCGATTTCGATGGCTTCCGATTCCGATTCGATTTGACTCCGGATTCCCACTTGGAAACCGATCTCTCTCAGTGGAGGTCTCCTCGGCTGCCGACTTCCGCCGATCCGGCTTCTCCCAGCTCGGCTGCCGATCTTCTAGGCCTCTCAGATGTGGTCCGCGCAGGTGGGGTCGGAGGATGTCGCCGCATCGCCGATGCATCGGCGATGCATCGGCGCTGCGATGGCGGCGTCATCGATGCATCGGCGACGTCGGCGTGGAGAACATTGGGCACCACCTCGAGCCTGGGCTCGCCTGCCCGGGTCCCGGGGGAGGGGGGGAAACGCCGCCCCCCCCCTTTCTCTGCCGCCCCCCGCGGGGCCAGGTCCCTGCGGGCCCTCGCCCGGACCGACGCGCAGTTCTACGCCAACTTCCTGGACCCGCTCGAGGGAGATCTGCCCATGGGCTGCTGGGCCGTGCGCCAGGACCCGTCGGCCATGCTGGTCACGCTGCGCTCGCTGAGCTGGCCCGGGTACGCTGCGTTTCACGTTCCGGGCACCAAGAAGTTCGGCGGCGCGTACTTCGGCTACGGGCAGAAGTGCCGGGACTTGCCCTTCATGCTGTAAGCTGCGGCGGGGCCCCGGGCGTCGTTCGGCGTGGTCTCGCCGCATCATCCGAGAGGCAACGGATCGGCCAGGCAGCGGGCAGAGGCTCGCGGGCGGCTCATGCATCGGGTGACGGGAAATGTGCATATACACAGGTCCTGGCAGGGTCCAAGCTGGACCCACGGTCGGTGCAGATGTCACAGCTGACCAAGCAAAAAGGGGCGTGTACACCGATCTTGGGCTCAGGGTTGGCCTGGCCAGGTTCGGTGCACGTGCATATTTCTCATTCTTCTACATGCACCCTCTCGTCTCCACGCGCCTGGCGGACCGCGAAGAATCGCTTCGCTCTGCTGGCGCAGTGCCGCTCTAGAATTTGCGTGCTGTCCTTTGACGCTAGCCCCCCCTGAGAGAAATACATAAGTAACTGTAGCGACAGCAGCAGCAGTGGAGGCACATCTGTTCATAGTGTACTTCTTTACTTGCCGCCTGCATTATACTTTCCCTGCTCCTGGTGTGCTGGGCCTCTGAACGGATGGCATTCAGGATTAGAAGTCGAGGGGAATAAAGTGTGGAGGCGTTTTAGGTTGGAGGATTGAGAGTTGCCGGGGACAGTTGAAAGGATATGGATGTCTATGCTACCAGGTTGACGCACAGTATCTTCCAATAGACCATTGGTAGCATAGCCTTCTGATAATGTGTCACAGCACACCGTGTCTCAACAAAGGCGTTGATTTAGCAATGATATAGTTGAGACGGCATCGAGTGTTGACGACGCGTCGCGAATGCGACGACCTAACATATTTGAGGATGTCGCTCGTGAGCGATCCCCATCTGCCCAGGTAGCCCCTGGACAAAGTCAGGCACGCGCATGGCTTTGGATCAGGCGAGGGGACAAGATGCCAAAGCATTTCGGATGTAGGCTTGCCGTGACGACAAAGCATTTGTGAGGGCCAAGGGGTCATACATGTGTACATATATATATATATATACATATACATATATTCATAACGAAATGTCGAGCATTGGCTGCAGCAGTCAGGAACATGGTCCGATATGTGGTGCGTCTCACAAGATTGCCAGTCCTTCGGTCCGTCCGCCCCTCTTCTGACTTCTCCCCAAGCGAATGGCTTTTGCTGTCACTTCGCTCTCCCATCCCATGCGACCCCCCCCCCTCTCTCTCTCCTCCTCCCTCCTCCTCGTTCCTCCTCCTCATCCTCCTCCTCCTCGCCCTCCTCCCTCCTCCTCGTGCTCCTCCTCCTCCTCCTCCTCCTCCTCCTCCTCCTCCTCCTCCTCCTCCTCCTCCTCCTCCTCCTCCTGGCACCTGCGGTCAGGAGTGCCTCCTCAGCGTGTCGCGCCGCCGGTCCTGGCCCACCATCGCGCCGCCGCGGTCCGCCGAGCATGCCCCGCCTCCGACGCGTCCGCGTCGTGTTGCCGGCTGCTGTGTGTGCGTCGCCCTCCTCCCCCCCACAGGGTAAGGAGGGGGAGGAGGAGGAGGAGGAGGAGGAGGAGGGGGAGGAGGAGGAGGAGGAGGAAGAGGAGGAGGAG